CGGGTTTATTTTTGACGCAGCGGCTTCGGAAGTCAGTGCCGAAGTGGCCCGTGCGCGCAAACCGTTTTGGCGCGGTCCCTTAATTGGGACAATTGTATAACAATTTCCGCCTGTGCAAAATGAAGTTACATATCGCTATGATTATGAATCACCTTGGCCTCCTGCCAGCAAGGAGTGCCGGTTACCGGGTGTCTTTACTTCAGTCCTAATGTTTACTTCACCATGGCAACAAACAGCTGATCGAGCGAGAGATCGACAACAAACGTTTGCCTGCCCAGAATAATGCATTTTATCTTGTATTGATAAAATAGATTATGTAAAGCATACGTTTAATGATGAGAAAAAACAGGGATTCTATTTCACAGAAAATATTATGAATTAACAAAGAAAATACAAATTTTCAATATTTTGTGAGGCTAGCCAGAGTATTTTTCTGTGTATATTTTTTGTGTTCTGCTGTTGTCATGACAAATTATGTGCCTGTGTGTAATATACACGTAGGCCTACATGTGCAATCGCATGTAGTGAAGTCATGTACATTTTGGCCGTCATTGCTGCATGTATGTACCACTAATATAACTTAGTGTGAATTATTATTTTTGTATCACCTGTACACATGCATTGAACCCAAGGATTTGTTACCTGGATTTTGTTACCAAGGATCTTACGGACCGCATGGATTTTCTTACCGGAGAGATTTTGTGACCAGAGATCTTCACATTTTTCATACGCCAGCTTCCTGATTCTACCACCTTGATTAACTTTGATTTCTTCAAGATTGTAAAAAATCCAACCATTGATTGACTGTAATTCCTATCTCGTGTGTGTCACTGGATCAATCGAACTCATCCCAATTAACTTTGCGGTGAACCCCACCTCCTGCTGTGCTACTACCACAGGCTAGGGTTTCACTACATTAAGTATTCATTTTCATTTGCTATAACTCTAAGTCGAACTTTCAATGTTCAAGTTAATTAAGCATACGGGCCTACACAGATCATAACCCTGCTTTGGCAGCATATGTACTGTTAGTCAAGGACAGGTGTGAACAGTTTTCAAAGGCCTACACACAATTGAAGGCTTATATCGCAATGTGGCCTGAAAGACATTTCACGACAAAAATCTAGCGAAATGTCAACCAAAATATTATTGTTGGACCTTAGGGTAAATAACTCGTCGCAAGTTTTGCGAATGGATCTAGAGACTTTTCTGTTTTTTGTTTGATTTTTATGTTCTCTCTCATTTTATCATGTTTCTTGATAAATGATTTGTCTCTCAAGGTATCTAAGTATTATTGTACGAAGTTGTTAATTTTTCCAAGTGTGAACTCACTAATTATTCCAAAGACTACACGAACCATCGTTGGCTGAACTATCGTTGAAAATCGTAGGAAATATTTGAAAAAGTTAAAAGATAACGCAGATAACGGGTGGGATAAACATTAACAAAGTGATTTTTCCATACCAGCAGATAATGGATACGAAACGACGAATACTACCTTAAAAGACTTTATTAAAATCTTCATAGTTAATATTAAAAACTGCTGCCCCTAAATCCCAGGGACCAAGTGCAGCATAAATATTGTCCGTCAATGTCCTTATATGACAGGTTTACCAACTCAGAAATGGAGGTAGAAAAAAACCATTGTGAAACTTTGCTGTTATTTGGAATTTCAATTGCACCTTTACAAACCACCCACATACCTGTAAAATAGTCTGTACAAGAACGGATATTCTGAGATTTGAGAGGCAGAAAGTATAAAATGAAATCAAAAGAAAAAACAAGTGGACGGAAGAAATACTGTTAATGGCTTATTGAGCAGATTACGGGGTTTGATGATTATTGTTTGTGAAAGCAGTTTGATTGAGTAGAAAATTAGTGGAAACTCGTCGTGCACAAAGATACTCCTTGGTTCAGTTTGCCGTAAGCACGGGCTCGTGCACAAATTACCACCCACATTGATTGTAGCCGCCAGAATATCGTTCGGTATTTTCTTTTGTTAGCAAGTGCAGTGACTTACGTCTTGTGAGGTTTTGTCCCCAGAGGGCGCTGTTTCAGCGCTCACTTAATTCCTTTCCCACCATTTTATGCCGCGCTATGCGCTGAAATTCTGCGAAAATCGTTTTACATTTGAAGTTAATTAGCAAAAACCTTGCCAGCTAAGCACAGTGAGTAGTAATCTTTACTCTTTAGATTTGATATGAGCATTGTTGATAAAGTTTTCAACGGACTGAGGTCATAAATTTAAGAGTTTGTCATGAAAGTTTTTGAGAAATGCGGGTACACCATGGAATCAATGGCAATCAAAAGCGTGTGCCGGACTGGAGTGGATAGCTGGTTATAAAGGTAATCCCTAACCGGTGGAGCGGGATTCGCAGGTTGTGTGACTCAGCGTGTGCGCTGTTGCGTGAAGGTGTTGGATCCTGGAATTGGCGGGAAATCTTGCGTTTGGGTATAAGGGACCCTTATGCCGGGGAGGGTGGCTTTGGGTAGAGAAAACCCTAACGACTGGGGTGGGGGGAATTGGGTTTCGGGTATAGGGGATCATACTGCCCGGGAGTGGGTGTCTGCTTGGGTGCTAGAAAGGGGCGCCAGATGTCGCTGAGCTTGAAACCGATGTCTTGGGATACGGTGTTTTGCCGGAAAATCTCGATGGCTTCTCAGATTCTCCTTGGGAACCAGTTCTTAGTGGGGACGATGAGTTTTGCTTTGTTACATTCGATGCGGTGGTCCGTGGAGTGTGCATGTTCGATGATGGCCGACTTGTCGTATTCTCCACGTGGGCCGTGCGAGCGGTGTTCATGGAGTCTGGTGGGGAGGTTCCTGCCGGTTTCCCTGATATACTGTATACTTAGCCGCATTCACATGGAATGCGATATACACAGGGGCGACTGCTCGGTGGGTGCTTGTCCTTGTGAGTGTGAAGAGCAGCCTGCAGCTTGTTGGGTGCTGAATGATGTACTTTGATGTTGGCCGACTGCAGGATGCTCCGGAGTTGGTTGGAGGTGGGGCCCAGGCACGGTGTGAAGTGAAACAGATTCAAGTTTTGGATAGTTGTACTGGTGTAAGTAAGCATGCGCACATAGGATTTACATATGGATACATCAATTAATTGTATTTTTTTTGTATTTAAACTGTGGTAAATGGCATGGGTTGTTCGGCTTCAATGCCTGGAAGGCGCTGCGAGTTAACGACCGACTGAATTCTATACAAAGTAAGCGGCTTTGCATGAATTGTCTGCAGCTGGGACACCGGGTCCAAGACTGTACCAGAAACCAGAAACTGTGTCCGTACGCGGGAAAAAACCACAGGTCCTGCCTATACAGCAGACAGATAAGTTTATTTTTGTTCTTCTGCCAATGTCCAATTCACTTTCTACCTGCTTTTTCTGCGAGTGCCTGTTCATGGTTCAGTGAGAGCTTTTTGTCGAGGTACGGAGATTTTGTAAATCTGTAAAATAAATAAGCCTCTTCTCCTTGGCTGATCCCACTTTCTCGAGCTATTAAATATATTAATTTTGAAATTAATTTAAATTTTTAAAGCCCTTTTTCTATTCTGGGAGGCTATAACTTAGCCAGTTCCTCAGGACACCGATGATTCTGGGTATCATATATGTCCCATGTGATGCCAAGGACCTCCTGCAATGCCTGAAATGCACGGTCAGAGGCTGATGCTGGTTTAAGGGTCAAACAGACGAGATTGGTCCTAGTGGTGCCGTGGGGGAGTAGGGAGCTCCTTGGAACCCTGGGCCAAAACTGGGTCTTGGAATGGCTTTGCCTGATAATACAGGTCCTAGAACCTAGGACCAACTTATTAAAATGGTACTACCTGGGAAGTGGGGGTCAAAGGTCAAAAGGGCGAGTCAGGAAAGAGTCAACATTACTCTGCAATTTGGTAGCATTCACAGCGACGTGGATGAGCATATTGGACATCCCTACCAGTTTCAACACCCGTTTCCCATTCGAGCAGGCCGAGACACTTTTGCCAGGTACCAAATCTGATTTGACGATTGGTGAGTTCACATGTAATATGTCGGACAACTACGAGTTCATCAAGAATCAACCTTTACGTTTATATCAACAAAACCAACAACCTGGTTGTACTTCCTGTAGCACTCATATCCTGTCACAGTGAACAGGTATTTGGGAACGCGGTGCTGATTCTGCAGCGAAGGCACTTCGCGTTTTCACCATGTACGGTTTTAGATCTATGCATCGAAGCGTTCACTACACCTTATTCGGTGTTTTTCTCTTGTACCCCAAATACGGAACGGCGATGGTATGTTGCTGCGAAGCGATTGTGGATGAATTCAAAATGACAACAGTATGGAACAAAAGAAGGTGCCCATCTTATTTGGAGCTCGTTGTATTTATTGTATCATTAAGAAGGTTATACATATCTCACTATTTCCCACAACAAACTGACTAAAGATATTATGAACATACAGGACAGGACCTGAGCTTGGAATGTCTATTATGTTCCTGTTTTGATGCGACTGTAGTAAAGGTGATAGCAACAGGAGTGCAAAGAGATTAAAATTGTAACGGCTGTTAGACTAGAGTAAACTTGGAGACTGCTATTGGCAATTATGATACCAGCCTACCAGTGAGTTGAAAAAAACTTTGATTCGCCATCTGCTTCAACATAAATAGTAATAATAATGGTAATATGTCAACCAATCATTGTCAGATTTGCTACACTAAAGAATAAATGCTATTAAACATCAAATAAAAATGTCTATCCCTATGGCTTTAGTCAGTGGCGTAACTACCTGGGGCAGGTGCCCACAGAAAATGTCTTCCCCCAGTCCCCCATTACGAATCTGTGACGTTTTCCCTTATTTTCACTTTCATTCTGTGCACTTTGATTCCCCAAAATAGTTAGCCAGTTGTGAAATATTGATGACTTTGACAAGTCGTACAAAAAGGAAGGCATTTGAACAAGAAGGTTTAGTTTAGCTTGAAGGTTTTGTTGTTAAACAGCTGCTGACATGCATTTGTAACAAGGGTGGTTAATCTATACTTAGCTTCTTTGGTACAAGTCAACTCTCCGTAGAGCGCTGCGAAGACTACTATCTAAAAACAATACCTTTGGGGGGTTACCCTCACCGGGAACGTTTTGCTGGAATTTAAATTGACATGTAAGGGGTTGCTCCAGATGTTCTTTATAGTGCCAAAAATCTCTTACCTTAGAAATTAACGTGCGTAATATTCAGCTAAACGATAGCCTGAATCAACAGTTTTCTTCAGACAGATTTTGCTTTGTGCATTTTTTTGTGGAAATACTTATCTATATAGCATACACGCGTTGTGCCAGTTACACTCTAATAGCCTTGAGAAGCAAAACATGCAGGTTAGTCTAATCTAATATTGATGGAATAATTACGATCGAAGTGTCTTATTTAACGGTTGCTAAATTAGGTCAACCAATTCAGAAGTCAACGCATCCCAGACGAACATCCAACAGGGTCTTAAAAGGGACACGAACTTCGAAATTGACGCATGCATGGAAGCCGTTACTCCATTGGACTTCATGGAAGTCCAGGCAGACTTTAACCAGTTTTATATTAGGGACGCCTAGGCAAATGGCCGGTGGTTCACGAGCTGCAATTTGAAGACAAATTAATCTAGTTTAGTCAGAAATCCGGGGAGACTGGTAAACACCTTTGTCAGAAAAACTGGAAGTAGTCTAGCTATTTATGTCAGCACCTAAAATTAGCAATCAAAATAGATGAGCAAATTTGAAAAACAATCCAAAGTACACTATTTTTGACACAAACATTGCTTGATGACGAGATAATGAAAACACTGAATGTCAAAAAGTTGCTTTCGATGCATTTATATGTCTCTCAATGTGCTTTACCATATTGCACTGCCTTTTTTGAAAGTGGGTCGTTCTTTGCAACACCGGTATGAAAGCCACCTGTGGGAATATGTATTGGAACTTTTGGCACTGACTGCCATGACAGTAAGAATGACAACTTGCACCTCCCAGCTAAAACTGCATTGTGCATCTTATTTAAGAAAGATAAAAATCCTTAAAAGGTAAATCTCTATCATGAATACCCTCCGGTTGAACCTGTGTGTGTGTTGACAGGTAGAGCTATAGCAATGACATCCCTGACAAGTAATCATTAACTTTGTTTCATCGAAACAAATCCAGCACAAGGCACCTGCCAATCCAAGCTTATCCAAGTCTTACCTGACACTTCTTCGTCGTAAAGCGTTTTACCAAGGGCAGTTATTTTGAGGTGAAGACCATATACCTCTTTAAGAACCTGGACGAAAGCGCATGCTTTAATAGAATTGAAGAAAAAAAAACTCTTCACCCGAGGAACCGCAAAACAAGACATGAGCAACACAGTGGTACAAATTGTTATTCAGAATGGTAAATATATGAAAGAGACTACAGTTTGACTACAGCTACTGGATAATATGTCCGTACTACTTAAAAGTCAAACCTATGATCTCTCTTTCATACGAAATTAGGAAGCAATTAGCCCCAAAACCATGTTCTTTTGAGTCAGCTGATTTGACATCGCAGCGGTTTCTTCTAAGGTCAACAATTTGAAATTACATGGTATTTTATTTTTAGTATCCAGCAGCACTAATACCAAGTAATGCACATCGACCGTTGACCAATCGAGATAAACTATTACTACAAACAAAATCTGGTGCAAGTGACGTGATTTTAAGAATTAAAATTGGTTGACCGTCTGGAAGAATGTGCACCAAGATGTCCATATCAATGCAAAGGGAATGTCAACATCTAAGACGGTTGCTGAGCACGGAAACAACTTTTTTTATCAAACATTATGTTCTGAAATTGTTGGCTCAATATTTACGTTTCCTCATATATCTACCACCAAGATACCTCTGTGAACTGGGTAGAATATTCCAAGCAAGCCTTACCATTGATAGTGTGGCGTTTCCAGAAGATCTTGAAAGACAGTGTGGCGCAGCACTCCGCTGAGAGTGCTTCTCTAGATAGCGTGCATTTACCTGTAACTCCTTCACCCGTGACTTCTGAAGCACTAACTACAAATCATAACAAGAAGAATTTACGTGAAAGCTGGACTGCTGTCAAATATGAAATTTGGGAATGGGAACTTAAAGATAAATATGCCTGAAAGTTTGTAATGTACATCTGTTGGAGCCCCATGCAATTCACCTTGCAGGGCCAGATCATGCACACAAAAGGGGAGAAAGGTTGCGCGGCATTAATGAAAGCATTGCACCACAAGTGAAGTTTAACTGTAGAAACTACAGGGTATATACTGTCTTTAATCGTTTCAGTAAAAAAAATGCAAGTTAATAAGGTAAGTAGGTTAAAATAAGTTCACCAAACTGAGAGTCGATAAGGAGAAACTGGGCGATTTCTTGTGGGGTCATCTCAGCCAAGTCCTCACTAAACAGTTCTAACAGCTGCTCCTCCTTAGACGGCAGGACTCTCAGATCGGTCTCCTGATTCGCAAAAAATCCACATGGTCAGTGGCGTACATTTGAACTGGGAACGGGGGGACGGAGGGGTAGGGATGAGAGATTTCTAGGTGATGACTCGTACATTAAATGTGCAGGCGATTTTGCACAAAACTGTGGTTTTTTTAAGGTATGTGCAGCCAATTTCAAACAAAACTGTGTATTTTTTTAAGGTACGCCTGGTAAAGAATTGGCATATATCTGAGTATTAGCGAAGTGGGTTAATTCTATTTTAAAACAAATGAGGAGAAAACAGAGATGCTCGACACCCTGTTGTAAAATATCGGTAAAACCAATTATAAAGTACTGGACCGATGCTTAAAAACAAAAATATAGCGCAAACAACCAACCCGCATTTTAAGATGTTACAGTGGTTTAATACGCTTTGTTAGTCAGTACTCACCATTATGGCCGAAGATGAAACCGTCACAACCGCAGCTGCAAGAGCCACCAGCTTCCACATGGTAGTCATTCTCAAAATCTGTGAAGTCAAGTCTCCGAAAAGAAATGGAAAAAAATGGCCAGGTGTACTCGAAAGAGAAAATCACCCTGAATAAAAAGATCGTTGTTGAGTGACTTTATATACTTTACAAAATTTAGAAAGCTTGTGACTTTTGTTACAGTAAAACTAAGGCCGGTGGAAGTTTTACCCGCATAATTTTGTAATCCACACCCTGTTTAATTTGTTGGTGTACCTTTTGGTTTCAATTGCAGGTCCAAACATGTAAAATATTATTTGTTTTTTTTTACTTTTATTATAGGATTTTCAACTGCAGGGGAAAGCCAATGCAGTCTGCATAACGCGGCTTTAATCGCCATTTGAAAAGACTGACAGACGATGCTATAAAAATCGGGGCAAGGTAATAATTCACAAAGTAGTTACACCATACCTGCATAAAACTGGCCAGTAAATGACAACTACCGCCTTCAATGACTTTACAAATAAATCTTCTTATTTAGCATTCGTTTATGTTGCCCCGAAATCCCAAGGACGGACGCTCTCGATTGTGGTTCAAGAAGTGCAGAGTACATATTGTCCATTTTTACGAACCCTTCCGTAAGCACACATTCAGAAGTGGTTGTAATCAAAACCGAAACCGTTGAGAAACTTTGCTGGTACTGGGAATTTGAATTGAAAAAGCACTTTCACAAAGCATCCACACAGAAGAGACTGTATAGGAACCTATATTCGGATTAGGAACCTATATTTGATGGGCAGAAAGTAGAAAAAAGCAAAACCAAGTCAAAAGAAACAAACAACTGGAAGGAAGAAGCAGCTTTCATGGCTTATTGAGCAGAATACTTACTTGCTAGGATGACTGGTTTTGGAGAGAAATGCAGTTCGATTAAAGAAACTAGTAATGCACAGAGACAAAAATCTTTAATGATTTCACCAATGTACTTGGTATTTTAATACACCTTCTGTAAATCAGCACTATTTCCCCTACCTTTGGGAGCTGGAAAATTTCGTGGACGTCAAAATTACAACTTTTTTTTCTTTTTCAGCATTGTCCTTAAAAGACGAAAAAAAAATCTCTTCACATAAGAAAGCTTTTACTGGGATTGAAATACATTGTAAAGAGTCCTTCGAGAGATTCTGAGCAAATTTAGACAATCATTACTTTTTCAATTTTAATTTTAATCATAAACGATTGAGACATGTTTTTGACCCTTTCTCACATGAACCGATTCGAGTTGAAGCAGCAAAACAAGGGTTACCTAGCCTCAACTGTGTCCAGTGAAGAGACCAGGCGTTTAGTAGGAATCGTTTTGCTGCAAAAATAATTGCCCCGTATATTCACGAGTTTGCCCTATGATTTCTAAAGGAAAAAAAAAATAAAGAAGTAGCACGGGCAGTGTATACTTGTGAAGCTGACTTAGTACTGAACAGACCAGAAATTAAATCATTAAATTCGACACGATTACAAATGGAAACAAAATTGAGATAATTCAGAAAAGGTGAGATTTCTATCATGTGTTTTTTTCCTACTTACATGCAGCGTGTTCAGTTTCAACCTCGCATTTCTGGTTTTCCATTGTTTATTGTCAGCTTCGAAGGCAGTTATTTCATATTATTGGTATACTCTTGCGTTCCCCTTGGTATCAGGCAGTCGATAGCATTTCTGTTATTTATTCATTCATGGTCAATCTTTTATCAATGTGAGCGGGGTACAACGTTTCCATGACAGTCAAACGAGCCAGTTTATTTTTTTCCAATCTCTTTCATTGTTTCGTGTGGTTGTGAACATGAAGTGTGGTGTCTTAACAAAATGGTGTAACATTGAAGTTGCAAAATTAATTACTTATGCAGCACGCAGGACCATGGGTTCTGGTCGGAAAGAGTAAACACAGCGTAAGGGCATCGCTACTCGGATCATCTGGACGGAACCAGTACGTGACAGGGTCCAGGCAATGCGTTATTGGACAAATGTCGACGGGAGATACGTGCCCTAAAATAGAGTGTCTTTCGGGGCAATGGTAGACTGACCGGTGACTGGTTTCTATTCATGCGAAACGGTGAAGCAGTCTCAACTAACACAAGGCAGAGGAGAGAGTGACAACGTGGAGGGAAATCCCACCGAGTTATTGGAAAAACAATTATGTTTTAACGCCTTTTAAACACCTTCCTGGTGGAACGTAAAAACATGTTGTGGCGTTAGCTAAACACGGTGTGTTGTTTACGTTTTGTTAAACAAATACGATTAGGGGTTAATATAAAATGTGTTTAATTTCAAACGCCAGCATTTTTACAACTAACGCAAAGACGTCTCTCTGATGGGCGTTGGTTTTACAACGTGTCGCATTCTGAGGGTGATCAAGGAAACATCAGGATTTCCTTTGGTTTATGTAGAGACAAGCGGAATGTTCCAAGTTTCCACTTTGTTAGCAAAAGCTGTCAATCACTTCATTTCCCTTGCTCCCTTGACATGCCTTCCCACCAGTGGCGTAAACCTGTGTTGGAAATTGGGGGTAGGGTTGGGAGTGGGAAAGGTGGGGGATGATTTGCCCTACCATAGTAATTTGAAAAGCGGGGGGCAACAATATTAACTATATATGGACATTGTTCAGGATAAAGATATACACCTGTAATGTGTATCAAATCCATCACACATCTTACATAAAAATGGTATATTTATGGCTTGAAAATTTTTGCTCCATTTTTAGTGTTATTACAAACATTTCAGTCGTTGAGAAACCCTGGAAATTCTTCACAATCCGCTTTAATGCGTTTGACCATCACAAAAAAATGCGACGGATTATCCAAAAGCCCATCCCCCACCTCAAAAAAATGAGTTTGTGGTATATACAGCCCATGCCCCCGGATTTATTTACGCCCCTGCTTCCAACAGTGCTGTCCCGCATCTGCAGTCACTCAATGTGTGTTTCCGTTACCGATGTCTGTGTGTACGCCGATTTAAGAACAGAAATGTCTTATTCCTGCCTCAAAAATCGCTTAATTCGTACTGCAGTACAACTCGAGTACCTGGCCCGTAATCGATTCTCAGCACTGGAAAATAAAATTTGCACTACTCGTAATCGCACGGTTGTACCCGGACACGCCCCCAAACTTGGCATGTTTTATTCATTAATCAATACCTTGCACTCGTAAAAAGCTGTAATAAACGGAAATCAACACAATGCTATCAAGTGCCTTATACTATGTTCTGCGACTCTGATAAAAAAAAAATTACATGGGAAATTACACAAAGTATCTATTTTAATGAGGGTGCAGCAAGATCTGCATCTTGTACAATCCGTAGCGAAGGAATTTATTTTTCCGGAATGAGAAATAATTACTGCGCTCCCCCTCGGCTTTCAACGTGGGAATTCCATTCATTTTAATAGCGGTGTGTCACGTTGTAAAACTACCAACGACCACTGCCATTTCCTAGATCAGTCATTAAAAATTGGCTTCATTCATGATTGTATACTTCACCTGTTTTGTAATGTATGACAGATACATTGGGTTATTTTTAGTGAAATTGAAATAAAAGCATATGGGTTCATAGATAAAGTTCATCGAAAAGTGTTGACCACCCCGAGATAACTTAACACGTCCTGATAAAACAGCAAGTCCCCACAATCTTGTTTGCCGGACGCCATTGACAGTCTTACTAATTGGTTGATGCAAAACAGCATGAAATTAAACCCTACTAAGCGCTTTCAGATGAATGTTGACTTCTCTAGAAACAGTCCTATAATGCCTATTGTTTCTGTTGATGACCATAATCTCTGTACTACAGCACATATCAAGGTTTTTGGGGTTATAATTCAAAGTGATCTTAATGGGATCAAAATGTGGACAGCATTGTCAAACGTGTAATAATAAAATCTGTATGTTAAGGGTTCTCAGAAACTACGGCTGGCCTCATAGTGACCTCATAACTCTGTATAAAAGCTTCATCAGGCCATTGGTGGAATAATGCAGCTCCTGTGTGGAACGGAGCATTTACCCAGCACCAGGTGACTAACCTTGAAAGAGTACAGAAACGTGCCTTGGAGATTATTCTTGGGGTAGAGTATGTGTCATACACCGAAGCTTTATCACATTTCAATTTAGATTCTTGGGCAATCAGGCGTAATCGAATATCATTATCCTTTTTCAAGAAAACCCTTGACCACACTGACCTTTTTCGTGATTTTTTTTCCGCCTCAACATACACGAATGTTGCGGAATAAATCATTCATCCCTGAAAACCGTTGCCGAACAAAACGTTATTTCACCAGTGCGCTTCCTACGTTAATCCGGTAGCATAACAAATATGGGAAGGAATGCCCCTCTAATAAGTTCTCTTGGTAGAAATATTTGGATTGTGCTTCTCTTAAGAAATGCCCTCTATTATCATTTTTTTACATGGGAGTTAAATTTTAAAGGTTACATGTGACTGAAATTTGTAAGATTACAATAATTTCATCTTTGAATTGTAGATTCCAACGGACGTGTTTTAGTAGTGTTCTTATATGAGAGTTGGTCATTAGTCATGTTATATGGTTTATTTTTTGTGAGTGTAAAATGTAATGGTAAATGTTGAGTATTTTTGTAACTATTTAATTCCGTACAATGTACAATTCTGTACAATTTTTTTTATTCTTACTTTAATTTCTTCTTTTTTCTTTTTTATTTTGATTGCTTAATCCATTGTAAGTCAGTTTTTTTAACTGCGAAAACGGATTTGATTATCCAATATGAAATGAAATGAAATAACTGCCAAATGTTGAACTTTGTAATTGTAAAATACCCCCTTGGACCTTAAAAATAATCCACAATCAGCAGCATGCCCCCCGGAAAAACAACTCAACAAGACGTCAAGCTCTGCTTAAAAACAAACTTCAGCATCTCTAACAGATAACTATCGTTAACCAGTATGGAGAAGTTTCAGCCATGCTACGGACCTGCTGCCAAAAGTTATTTCAGTGAAGACATCCAAACAGATTCAAAGTAACAAGAACGCTGTAATGAAAAGATCTTAAAATAAACCAGAAAACAGGCTGGTTGGGCAGAGCTTGATTACAACTGCTCAGAGAAACTTTCATGGAACACTGAGGGCTAGGCAAGGGCAGCTCGAGCACAATTTTTTTGGAGGGGGCAACAATTATTTCATTTATATGCATCCTTTTTTGCCGTTCAAGGGCCGAGGCAATATTTGTGGCCTTTTATAACCTTGGGGAAAAAGTTAAATGATACAGAGGGTACATTGGATTTCGATCATGGAGCTGTAATATACAAGGAATACGCACACACGGAGATCAAAAGGGTTAATGATGGCTACCACTAACGCGGCACGTGCTGCAGGGACAAAACAAATTACGCGCCACTTAACGGCTATAAGGAATGCTCTAGTCACTGTTGATGAGAATCTGTTCTCCAGGGATTCCTCACACTGTTCCATTCGGTTGGGTCCATGTAAATGAAATGTACTCCTGGAATATTGACCTTTGCCCAGGTACAGAGCTGATGTATATTTAAGATTTGATCTTTGCAGGGCCTGTGCAGACTGGCTTTCGAAGCAGTTCCACCCAATCCATCACAAGGTCCTTTGCCATAAGATGTGGCAAAGAAATGCCACTCAGCATCAGATGAAAATCATCTGTTGGGTTGTTGGGTTGGGGTTGGGTTGGGTTGGCTTTTCTTGCCATCCAATCACTACTTTGAAACTCCTGCATTTTTTTTGCGAATACTCCAGCTTTTTGGTACGAGTGTGAGAATCTGAACCTTTTTGCTTTTGGTAGCTGTAGCCAAATTTTATTTCAACTGTTTCAACATTTCCTCTAAGGCTGTTGGCTGTGGTACCTATTCTATACCAAGCTGTGACTGAAGTGGCTTCCAATGGTCTTCAGCTTGCTCTGTTGGTGCTTCATACTTCTTCTGTCCAAGTTTTTTGCGTGTGATTGGAGTTACACCAGTGGTCTCAAGAGCTTCATTTACTGATGAGATTGATGCTACAGCAGCTACATCGTGTATTGGTGTTTGCGATGGATAGGCTTGACAAGCTGATGGTTGGTCAATAACTGATGGATCAGAACTTGAAGATGTTTTAGGTTCAGAAGCAGCTTGTGGTACGGGCAAGCTTAGCACTGACAAACGACAACTGCTTCTTTCCTGGTATAAGACCAAGATGTTGATATGTTTAGGATTGCTGCAATATTATTGCTCTTAACCCTTCGGAATGTACCTTGCCTGCATGTACTCGGAGGGGATCACAACACCTCCGCTGATTACCAGAAAACAACTTTGCAAGTCGTTGATAATGTAAATTGCATATGCTGCTTAATGTTTCACAACCCAATCTAAGACGTAAACACAGTAATCCATCATCACTTGGATAAAAAAGTTCGGTGTCATCAGAAGACACCTCATCGAGGTATTTTCCAACTGAACACTGGACCATAGCTTTATCCTACAGTACAATATGTCCAAACAAAGGATAAATCTTGGATATCTACCCAAAATCCTTTAAGTTGGCCACCTGAAATCCACAAGAGTTTACCGCTTTACTCATAAAAGTTGCTGTACAATACCAAATTCTTTCACACTGCTCACTATGTCACTTACAAAGACTCACACTGTTGACTTACTGTATTCAAACGTGATTGTGCAATGTTCAAGGTCAAGTATTTTGGTGAGTAGTGTGGGGCTCTCAGGTGTAACACTTCATCCAGTCAACACAAAAAACAATTCCTCACTGAGTTCCCAAAATCTTGGCCTCAGTTTTGTTCCTGATACAGGCTCCCCGAATGAAATGAAAATCTTGTGTGCGATTGTTCGGTATCAAACCTCTATCAGCTTCATTAGATTCATTTCAAGGTACAGAATGGTTGGGTACAATATCTTTTGTTAGGGTTACATACAAAATTTACATTTTCTAAGCTGACAGGCTACAGAAGAATGCCCATAAACCTTTTTGTTTTAAAGTGCCCAGAAAGATTTAGGTGGATACTACTAGAGAATGGAACAACCCTTCAAAAACCATTTTGTTTAGAAAAATTCAATGATACTTTTTTAAAAATGGGTCAAAGGTCACAGGTATGTGCTGAAGGTTCCTGATTCATAAAACCAAATTCTCACATTATCAGTAAAAAGAGTATGTATTTCCGATTATTTTGATAGCAAATTTGTACATATTCGATGACGATTTTAAAAGTAAAGTTCAATTTTTACTTAAAAGGCAGATTTTTAAGCTAAACTGTCCATTTTGTGGCTGCATGGAAGGGTGGATTCCTCTAAAATTGGCATGTATTTATCTTTTATTGGTGTATACAATCACAGCAATTTTTATAAAAATCTGAAGACATACGGTCAAAAGGTGTTGGTCTGCCATGGAATGACCTATGAGCAACACAAATTCACCAAACGTACGGACTCGCCACACATTCCTGCTGCATGTTTCCCCCGTACGAACCATTAGAAGTGCGACTTATGAAATAAATATCGCTGTTCGTATTGTTACGGATAAAAAATTTTACGGGAGGTGTGTTTACTTTCTGTCTCTTGCCGATTGAAGGCGCTCTTATTGGTGACGATTCGCAGCAAAACTTATCAGTCACGTGGAAGTAGCTATTTTGAAGTACGAATTTGGAAACAAGATCCAATATCCTCTGATGTTTTGAAGCTTTTGTAAGACATGATTACAGTGATAGGGCTTCTACGTATCCTGCAGATTTCAGAGATTTAGATAACTGTGTAGAGGAGCCATTCTGGTCTTGTACGTCACTTATAATAATCCTCAGTATGGAAATCAAGGTACCATTCACTCAACGCGAATTAAAAACCAATCGGAAACCGACTGGACAAATGTAACACGGTGATTATTGGTAACTTACCCTCGAGGTCTTTTGCTCGTTATTGGGTGTTTGCTAGTTTCGCGGGCACACTTCACTTGACCCCGGAACGTTTTCCCCAGAGCCTCAACCACACATTGTGATGATTGGTACCTTACCCTGGAGCTCTTTTGTTCGTTCTCAGGTGTTTGCCGGTTTCGCTGACACACTTTTACCTGACCCTGGAACGCTCTTCTCAGAGCCCCAACCACACATTGTGATGATTGGAAACTTACCCTGGGGCTCCTTTGTTCTTTCCCGTGTGTTTACACTTTACCTAACCCTGGAACGCTCTTTTCAGAGCCCCAACCACACATTGTGATGATGGGTAACTTACCCTAGGGCTCTTTTGTTCTTTCCCGGGTGTTTGCTCGTTTGGCTGGCACACTTTACCTGACCCCGGAACGTTCTTCACAGAGCCTCAACCACACCGTGGGTACCACACACATTTCGTCAACAACGCTCTTACATCCGTCATCTGAACAACAATCTTGAGAACTTGTCTACCTCGTCGAGGTACGTATAAACTGGATTCCCCATTGCCTTCGGGTTCTTTCTTGTGGATAAGCATCTTTACAGTACAGTGTACCTTGTGAGAAGGAAGATATCTTGGCCAGTATGCAGTATTACAGTACTTACCATAAAGGCTTAAATTAAATTTCTTTCCTCATCAATAAACTATAGAAATGTTTTCCCTGAATAAACACACTTTGATGATGACGAAATTTCATTGTTAAACTGTTTACAGTGCAGAACTGAAATTCAAGCTGGAGCAGATCAAACTCAAGCAAGGCTGTATCAAATTTTGACCTCTGTGTTTATTCAAAGTTCAGAGAAAACTGTTGTTTGTAACCGTTGACAGTGATGTTATTTCATGGTCAGGTTCCATTTTTATGAAACTAGAGTCAAACTGTCTATAGACACATATACCGTAAGTCAGGATGAACTTCGACCTTCAGTTAATTTGGGAGTTACGAAATCATTCTTAGCCTTGGGGCAGCCACATTTGAAGTAGAATCAGCTGTACGCTCAAAATTTGAAACTTCTGTAGGCAAGAGTGAAGCATTAAAATTCATACCCAGTGCGTTTTTTTTTTACTTGATTCTTTTCGGGGTTAATCGAATGTACTGCGTGGTATATAGTTCAAGACAGGAGAATCGGGGGCTATTGCTTCGTTGCAATTGAGGATTTCATCAGTTGGAGTAGCTAAAGACAAAAGGCCTCAAAAACTACGACAGATTTTTTTAAACTACTGTTAGATTATCGTTATATGATTACTGTCTTGTGGTGTCGGTACGCAGACAGTTCATCCTTTCAACACACTGTAGTTAATGTACCCCAGTTCCACTGGACCCCGGCATCAATCTTAATATTTGTCCACAGGGCAGAGCAACCCGTCTATTAATTGGTTTCCCTGGTAACCCAACAAAAGTATTATAAATAATGGAGGGTTTTCAGTCACTTGCAGTGCAATAGTTTCACACGTTGAAATGAGTTTTGATACACTGAAGAGTGTAATCTACGGTGGTTTACGCACAATGTAGGAAAAGCTGTTGTCGCCGGACAACACAATTGCGGACAAATTGTACAAAAAAACAAGACAGGTATCAATTTGGTGGCAAGAAAACCCTCAATAACTGACACAAAAACTCCTTTCTGTGAGTGTGTTTGAAGCACCAGCTGCATGTGTATTAAAGTGCGGGAAAATGTCCGTTCAAATATCCATTGTTCTGCAAGACCTTGTTGTTCCGAATAAACAACGTTTATTGTTTGCTTGGCAATTGTTCTGTTCCCTGGACAAAACATTTCTGTTTCCTGAACACGATTGTGTTATTCTATGAACAAGATTTGTTGTTTCCTGAACACAACTCTGTTATTCCATGAACAAAATTTGCTGTTCCCTGAGCACAATTGTATTGTCCCTACAACATTTTTTGTTCTCTAAAGAAGATTAGATGTTTCCCCTACAACATTTGCTGTAACCTCGCCAAAATTGGTTGATCCCTTAACAAAAAGAAAATGCTGTTCCTTCAAGAAATATTTGTTAATCTCTCAACAACATTTGTTGTGTCCTGAACAAAATCTGTTTTCCGAAAATGCTGTGCTCCTTTACAACCACCTACTTCTCAGCAACGGTCAAACAAGACAAAATAAACTGAGAGTTAAGCAATGATCGAGCACTGGAGCACGTACTGTACATAAGTAATACTTTTAAAGAAAAAAATACGTGTGTGTTTATCTCGTCCTTCAGCCGCGCTCCCACTAGATCTGTAGGGACGCCGGTGTTAGGAACTAAGGAGAAGTAAAGTGAGTGATGAAACTTGGGGGCACTGAAGTATGCAAGGGAGAAGATAACATCAACCTAAGACTGTGGGTTTTTGGAAGCTAGTGTTTTGACTTGGGCAAAGGCATGATGAAACATGGTATTATACTTGAGGACACTGGTTTTGTTATATTTATCAGAGGACATTCCAGCTGCTCCTTGCTCCTTGCTTCCGGTGCAACTACCCCAAAAACATTTCCCATGAAAACCAAGAGTATACAAATTCGAACACAATGCTTTTATACGGCCAACCGACATTTTGCTGGGTTTTTGCTGGGAATGTGGTTGAAAGAAATTGATGGAATTTTGATGGATGAGAGAAGCAGATGGCTAAAATTGTGCCGTTAGCAAATACTCCAAGCACCTCCATGAGTAGTCTCATTGGTTGCTGAGATTCTTATTGCTAGAATTTTTCCCTTCGAGGTAAAAATCCTTTCTTCAACATGATTCCATTATTTACGTTGCTACGAGAAGTTCTTATTAAAATGTTATATATATGAACACTGAGCTTCTACGAAGCAGAATTGGAGTCAAAAAGATCGTTACATGTTTTCCGAGAAATGTAATGCTTTTTAAAAATCGATTTTTTTGTAATGTAAGGTTTTTTAAAACAGACCGTACCTTGAATTTTTTAATTCATTTTCCAAAATCGAATGAAATCTTTCGTACCTAATATATCTTTTTGGATAAACTTTTACAAACCTACCATGTTTTATGACCCAACATGTTTTATAGATTCGAATAAAAGTTTGTAGACATGACACGTTTTTAGGATACGAATAAAATTTTTTGGACCTAATACGGTTCAAAGATTCGAGTAAATTTTTTCAGACCTAACATGTTTTGAAGATTCGAATGAATTTTTTCAGACCTAACATGTTTTCAAAATCCGAATGAAATTTGACAGATCTAACGTTTTCCAGGTTCGAATGCATTTTCCCTGACAATAAAAAGCCCAAGGATTCGAGTTCCGCACCAGCATTTCATCCGAATTCAGAAAGTATCCGAATTACGAAAGCATCCAACTTTAAAAAAGCATCAGAATATTGAAAAAGCATTCAGACTGAGAAAGCATCCGATCTTTTTGACGATGTTCGGCCCGATGGTACCCGAAGCTGCCAATCTTTTTCGACGATTCGGCTGTGTTCGGTATGCGCATGCGCAGTCAAACTTTGGAATTATTCCCGCTCCCTTAAACAAACGGGCAGTCAGTAATACAAGCTCCAAATTTCCAATTAAGTCAGGCGACTACATACAACGTCCCTGCACGTATATTTGGTCCCCATAGACTGTGCACCCATTAAGTTCGTGTATTCGCACATGCGCAATAGTGCCATAATGGTCGTCAGCCTAAAAAAATATATTGTAGCAGACGACAGTAGTGCGGGGGGTCAGTTGGGTACAGTTTGACCTTTGCGACAAATAATAGCAAAAGGTCACATTTATATGCATAAGTATAATAATTATGATCATAACATATGAATAAGAATGAGGATAGGGTCAAAAATTATAGTACAGATTGACCTTTGGCAAGGGATATGCATAGGATAAAGTCAGAAAGTCTGGCACGGGTTGACCCTGGTCTAGGGGTGATGAAATAAGAAAAAAACATAGAAGGGGGAAAACATTTCGGTACAAATTGACCTTGCTTATGAAATTGCGGCACAACATGATGAAAAAGGATGAGTCAGCAGTGGTGTGACGTCATGGAAAAATACTGCCTAGCCTACAGGGAGATCCTAAGGTAATTAAGGAGTAGGAAGCGCCGTAGACAGCTCATGCCGCCGGGTAATGAGAGGGACAATCCCTAGACAATGGACTGTACATAGTGGGTGAGCTGTGTCGGCGGATTATTGTGTTAATGATCACACTGTGCACGTTGGAAGTGAGCGTTGGCCCGTCTACCGTTCTTTCGTTTTGGACCGTTCAAAACACATGTAGATATGTACGACGAGCGCTGTCCAATCGAAAGCAACCGAAAACAATGGAACCAGTCAGTACTGTACCAGTCCAATCAAATGCTAGCGCTTGAATTGATGAGGTATATACATGTATATATTTCATTTTACGTGAAACTCAAATGCAGTTATAATGCATGTAAGCAGGAGAAGGTTGACAGTTTCGCAAGAGCGGCACATATCAGACATGTTGAGCACGTGTCCAAAAAACAAAGTATGAGCAAAGTCTTTGTGTGTGCTGCATCTTCACGTCGCAAACACGCAGCTATTGCACAATTGATTTTGAGGGCTGTGTCAAATGTAGAGCTTATGCTTTGTCGGATTCAGTTCATTAATGTATTGTAGTGGTGCCATATAGTCTGAACTTGCGTCAAAGCCATTCAATTAAAGACGTGCAGTAGCGTGCTCAGGTTTTTGGTCCGGGGTGATGTTCTCCCTATAACTATTACTCCCGTTTATAAAGGTACTTCCTCTTTTTTCGCCCCCCCCCCTAAAAAGTGGTACTGTTTGAAAGTTGTGGCACCAAATTCTGAAACAACGTCTTGATATATATCAATATATAATCAAGCAATCAGCAATGTGTCTTTGGGCCATATCTTCAAACATTTATTTGATAAAATTAATGAAGCAATGCATATTATTCTTCTTATAAAGGGGTTGGTTTTCATTGGATCCGGCAAGCACAGTGATTCAGTCTGTGAATTTGACATTTGAAAGTGAAGACTGCAAAACAAATTGATATTAATTAACTTTACCTCAGCATCTTGGTTTAAGGGGTTACTTTTTATTGGATCCGGCAACCACAATGATTCGGTCTGTGAATTTGACATTGAAAGTAAAGACTACAAAACAAATTGATATTTATTAACTTTATATCAGCATCTTGGTTTCATTTCTTTAAGAATTTGTTATATTTCTCTAAATGCTATAGCATAATTTACAATTTCACAAAGAATTAAAGCAAAGAAACTAATCGTCGTTTTCTCGAAGTGGCCGTCCAATCGACGGTTCACTAATAAAGGAATGATGAGGAGAACGGTTGCATCTTAGTATGAATGAACATCAACGGTTCACCGTGCAATAAGGGAATGACGAGGAGAACGGTAGCATCTTAATATCAATGAACATCGACGGTCTAAGGTTACTGCATTCGAAAAATTTGAACGAAGAAAAGGAATTCACCGCTTGAAAAAAAGGGATGTCGGCAAACAGACGTTGATTTCTAAATTGCCTGAAATTCCACGACCAATAAAGTATAATAAATTAATGTTTCTTTGCACGTATAAATAGTTGGTCGTATAGTTACGAAGGGTAGCATATATTTTGCATTTTAGTGTTAAAGGTTGGCTAATATAACAGGAGGAAACAAGAAAGCATGAAGAAAAAGTCACTAATATTTACTTTCAAGTACTATTGTTTTGTGAATATTCATCATTTTGTTTGTATTTTTTCGGGGAAATCAGGGAAAAGAAAACCGTACAGCCAAGGAACTGACAAAGGCAAACCAAATGTGCAGCTTCACAGAAACACCCGGTTCAAATTGCAGAACAAATTCCAAAGCAAAGGAAGGTTTATTCTTCATCCTGGTCAACGCCAGGGGGTAACGGAACAATAAAAATTAAAGTGCAGTAGCAAAGCTTAATGAATAAAAATGCTAAAATGAGATCCATTACTGAAAGGCCTACACTGAAAATCATATACCAGGCAA